GTTTTTAAGTATTTCCGCTACGCGTGTTAAGACTTGAACTTGCATTTTAGTAAATTTCAGATTTCAGTTTTCATCATTTCAGCAGTATGAATATAGTACAGTTTAAATGCAAGTTTAAATAAATCTGTTTTCTTTATGTCTAAACTAGTAAGTTAGACAAAGTTTAATGATAAACGGATTTTATAAAAAATAAGTTTTAGTAGCATCCCGAGTTAAGTTAAAATGATTCATAAGTATTTTCGAAAGATAAGTTGCGAAAAATATACTCTGATAAGCGGGGTGTTACAACCAAGCTCCAATAATGGAGAAAAAAAATGTTGTCACACAGAAGAATACACGCACTCAAGCGGGAGAAAAACACAGAACACTAAGTCCTACTACACACAACACACAAATACAAACAAAATAACAATAGACTAAGGCTCTTCCCTCAGTCAAATAGCTTCAACAAGCGAAACACGACAACAACATCCACGCCCGACCGCCGATATGCACCGGACCACAACCCAAATTTCAGTTCCAGAAACTGCAATATACGCCTAACTACGGTCGAAACCCAAGAACCCGACCTCGCGTCTAGGCGGCCGTCCCGAACCTAACCCACACCACGGGCCAGGGTCTGTTACGCCGGTCTTCCTCTCAGCCCTAATACCGTGGGAGAAGGGAGAAGGAGGATAAAGCCCACCAACCTCTGCCCTGACCACCGCCTCTAGGCAGTCAGAACCAGAACTCACCCACGCAGAAGCACCAAAGCCCGACGCCGCCTCGACACCAGCGAATTTGACGACCTCCGTCCCAAGATGACAACCATGGAAAATGACGAGATCCACTAGGGAATAACCATCCAACTCCTTCGGTACAGAAAGACAGGCCTCGATACAAAATTGGGGCCGAGTCGGGTAGCCAGGAATCGGTCGCGTCACGTAGCCTGGTGGTCCCGCTGGAGAAGAGGAGCCGAAAAAAAAATAGGTTTAGATGCAGAGAAATGAGAAAAAATCGAAGAGAGAGAAAAGAGCTATCCAGAATACAAATTCTCCTATTTATTATGTTTTGCCTTCATCTTTCCCTCTAATAAATACTATTACCCAAAAAATGTTACATGCAACGCTTTTGACATAGCATTTTTTAGAAAATAATATATATAAAAATGGTGCACTCATATAACACTCAAATTTCTAAAGTTATATTAGAAAGAAGAAATAAACGAATCACACTCATTTTAAGGTGTACGGGGCTGCTGTGAGTAACTTACAGTAGCCCCAACAGCTATTTTCTAGCCTTTGATTATACAAAAAGTAAAAGGGAAAAACATTATCCACGCATGAAAAGGGAAAAACATAGCACCAAAAATTTTTATTTAACCACTTTCAAGCATCAAAATTGAATCTTTATCACAAAAATAGAATTTTTATCTGGGTATAATATGTGAAAATGCAAAAAAATTAAAGAAATCATTATTGTTGTAGTTGTTTACGAAGATACTAGCAGTGGTAGCTTCATTTCCTTCAGTGTCTGTGTTTTATTGGTGAAGGGAAAAAAAAAAAAGAAAAAGAAAAAATTTGTGGGTGTTCTAAATCCTCGAGAAGAAGAGAAAAAAAAATGAGATAAAATCAACTAAGACCTTTTTTTTCTTTTTTATTATTGATTTTGTTAGAAAATTGATTGTGGTTGATGTTAGATTCAATTTTCTTTCCACTTGTGTTGGCTAAGTGATGTTAGATTCAATTTTCTTTTTTAATTATATATTCCTTATTTATTTTGAGCCATTAGATTGCTTTTTACTTTTTGTATAATCAAAGGCTACAAAATAGCTGTTAGGGCTGCTGTACTGTACCCCATTTTAAGAGTGTTATACTTGTTGTAACACTTATAACTTAATTGTGTTTATACACATTTTCCATTAACTATGAGTGTTATAATATATAGTTAACGAATAATGTGTGAGAACACAACGTTATAAAACTTTTAAAGAAAATTTCATTTTTTTTTATTTTTTATTTTTTGGTTTTCTTCTACATATAGTGCTTACTGCTTAGTAACTCGAGTGCTATTTAGAAAGTACTCTCCTAAGAAAAGGTTACGTTAAAGTTAAAAACCTTATGCGACATTAACTTGCCGTAACAAACATCCTTCATCCCGTGTTCGTGATCCAGCTATTTATATTGTTTACTAGTAATTAATTTTGCGCATATACTGAGATCTAACCAAAACATTATTAGTCCTATGCATGTAAATCATATATAAAATACAAAAATAAGTTAGCAATTGGAATATCACGTTCTAACAATTTTAATAATTAGTAAAAATGAACAATATAAGCATAAATTATTTTACTTATATATTAATAGCTAATAAATTACATAAAATATTATGAATAACATAACTTTTACAAATTCAGAAGGTTGTGACCAATAAATTAGTTGATAAAATATTTAATTATTATTATCTCCTCTATATATAATTTCAAAATAGGTTGAACCTACATGGCAAACTCTCACGCTTCGGAATCCTATGTGGCAAAAAACCATGCTTTGGAGTTAGGCTTGGATATAAATTAATATTTTTATCACACTAAATCTATGATTGATTTTTTCCTTCTTACTTCTACACTTAATTACCATAAATTATTTTATATTTCTTTTTCCTATATTACCATATATTACATTTTATTTTCTTATTTAATTCATTCATTAGTTATTATAATGTTTTTTCTTCTTATTTTAAAATTTTATAACTTTTTTGTTTGTATTTTATTTTTTATATATGATATATCAAATTAACTATCTTTTAATGATTTTCAATTTGACATCCATATTATATATATTCTTATAAATAATAGTAATATATTCTTATAAATAAAATTTATGTTTATTTATCAAACTAAATTAAAAGATATTAAATAAAACTATAAATTATATTATAAAGTAATAGAAATTGGTATGTATTCTTTTAAAAATGATATTTATTCCAAATCTAATTGGTATGTTATCAATCTAATAAAAATAAATAATTATTTATCTAAATTCTAAAATTACATATAAAGTTAGATAACTGTGAAGTACAACGTATAATATACTTGATGTATTAGGCATATAATTAAGTAAAAAATTAATCTATTTTGCTTAATATTAAACAAACATATTTATGCACTTATTAATATACATATCACCATATTATTTCTATTTATTTAAGATATATATTTTTTTCACTTAATAATAGTAAATAATATCGATAATTTTATATGATATAAGTAAAAAAATTCAATATGAGTTGACATTTTCATTCAATATATGGGTGTTTAATTATTATGATTAAAAAATATAATTTGACAATTTAATTAAAACCCAAAGTAATGTTTTATATAAAATTAAATTATTTTAGTTAAAAAAATTAATATTTTTTACATATGCTTCCTAATTCAACTCCCGTGTATTTACACGGGTATTGTACTAGTTATTATTATTATAGAAATTGTCACTCGATTTTAAAGTATTTTCTATGTCATTATAACCAGTTAGTTATCTAAAAATTATGTAATGAAATAAAAATAAAAAGATAATATTTATTTTATAATAAATAACTTTCATGTACTTTTTAATGTGAATTTATAATTAGTTAATATTAGTAGTAGGGATGAGCATGGGTCGGTACAGTTTGGAGATTGAGAAATCTCCAGAACTGTACAAAAATTCGTAGATCACTAAATTCGATCTCCAGAACCGTACCAAAAATTCGGAACGGTTTAGTTCGGAGGTTTTATTTTTTGGTTCGGTTCAGCTCGATATTCGGGACTATTGGAACGGTTCGGTTCGGATCTTCAGAGATTTCTTATTTTTTTAAAATTTTTTTGAATGACTACCTAGTTATATTTTAACTTTTATATGCTTTAAAAAAAGTAAAATTAATCAATACTTCATCATATTGAAGATTTTATTTCGAAATCAATTATTGAAATAAATCTGAAGTTTAATTATTTAATTTTTATATGCTTTAAAAAAACCAACATACATCGATACTTCCTCATATTAAAGATTTTATTTTGTAATCAACTTTAGACTCTAAATTTTAGTTAATAATAAATTAGTACAACTAATATTGAAAATTTAAAATTCAATTAAAATATAATATAGTTTTTCTTAAAAAAAAATATTCTTTAACCTTTCATACCATTTTTAATATTTTTTTCATAGCATGAAAAATTCAATTGTAGATCAAATATTACTAAACATGAAATTTAAGTGAAATTTAATTGTTATTACTATATTTTCCTTGCATTTAAAAACTCTCAAATTATATAGGATCAAAGTTAACATAAAATATATTATTAACACACATATAAAGTTATTATTCAGTTATTATTTTTGGTTTTTCGGTTTGGTACGGTATGAGACGGTTCGGTTTGGTTCTCGGTACGGATATTTGTGACATCTCCAGTTTTGGTTCGGTTCCGTTCGGAGAAAGTCAAATTATCAACCGTTATTTTTCGTTCAGAGTGATTTCGGTTCGGTTTCAGAACGGTTCGGAATTCTCCGAGTCTTATGCCCAGCCCTAATTAGTAGTGATTATTATATGATACAATAATTAAAAAATATTATTATACTTAATTAATATAAAATATTTAATTAAAACATAACGATTAATTTCACAATTAAATAAAAAAATGATAAAAAAAAATTGCATTAAATGAATAACGTCTATATATAATTATATAGTCACCTTTAATATTATACAATTTTACAACTTTTCCTCAATGAAAATGAAGCATCCTAATTAAAAAGAAACTTGAATAAATCGACTTCATATATATCAAAGAGACCTTAAATTTCGTTATCCACATCCAATCTTCACTTCAACTCCCATTGACCATGCCATGGCAAAACATCCTCCACCATTCTTTATCCACCTCCAAATACTCTCCCAAACCATATTCTTCTTCTCTAATTTAATCTGATTTTTTTTTTTTCCCCATAAATTTTTCCCATCACTAATNCCTCCTTGCCCTGTCCCTCCGCCTCCTCCCCGGCCTCTCCGCCTCAGCCGGAGAAGACGTCCACCTCATCAATTTCAAGAAATCGCTAAAAGACTCTTCTGCCCTCGACCCCACGTGGCTCCCGGGCACCGACCCGTGCAACCGCCGCCTCCCCTGGCTCGGCATCGACTGCAGCGAGACGGGCTTCGACTCCGTCTCGGCCCTCCTCCTCATGAACCTCCAAATCTCCGCCACGTCACCCGAAATCGACATCGACTCCCTCGCCAATTTGAAAGATCTACGCTACGTAAGCCTCGAGAACAACACGGTCGCGGGCCCGATCCCGGCCCTAAATCGACTCGGCTCCCTCAAGTCTCTCTTCCTCTCCGGGAACGGGCTCTCCGGCGAGATCCCGGCCGACTACTTCCTCAAAATGGGCTCCCTCAAGAAGCTCCAGCTGGCGAACAACCGCTTCTCGGGCCCTATCCCGACCTCCCTCTCGTCCCTCCACAACATCAAGGAGATCGCGCTGCAGGGGAACGGGTTCTCGGGCCCTGTCCCGGGCTTCGACCAGAAGTCCCTCCAAGTACTCGACCTCTCGCGCAACAAATTGGACGGTCCGATTCCCCCGGCCATGTCGAGGTTCCCGGCCGCCTCGTTTTCCGGGAACCCGGGCCTTTGCGGGCCTCCCCTGTCCCGACCCTGCATCGCGTCCGAGGTGGACTCGAGCGCGCAGGTCGACTCGGGCCAAAATAGCAATAGTAGCAGCAGTAGTAGTAGTGAGTCGGGTTCGATTACGAAATGGGTCGTGCTAGGTGTGGTGGTTGCGGTTTTGGTGATTACGATATTGTTCAAGGCGAAGAAGGAGGACGACAGTTTTAGCGTGCTCGGGAAGGAGAATCTGGACGAGGGGGTGCAGGTGCACCTGCCGAGTGCCGCGAACCGGAGGAGCATGAGCTCGTCGAGCAGGAGGAACTACAGCTACAAGGAGTCTGGCGGAGCCCACTCGTCGAGAAGGGGTGGAGGGAAGTCGGCGAACGACTTGGTGGTGATCAACGACGAAAAGGGCGTGTTTGGGCTGCCAGACCTCATGAAGGCGGCGGCGGAGGTGCTCGGGAGCGGGGGGCTCGGATCGTCGTACAAGGCCATCATGGCGAACGGGGTCTCGGTTGTGGTGAAGAGGATGAGGGACATGAATAAGTTGAATAAGGACGCGTTCGAGGCGGAGATCAGGCGGCTCGGGAGGATAAGGCACCGGAATGTGCTGCCGCCGCTGGCGTATCATTACCGGAAGGAGGAGAAGCTTCTCGTGACGGAGTTTGTTCCGAAAGGGAGCTTGCTATTTTTGCTGCATGGTAAGTCGACTCGTCATACTATACAAAAAAAAAATGCATACTCATGTTATTAAGTGTCGTACTAATTTTGTTTGTTTATGTTGTTTGTTAAAGTTTGATGACCTAACGGTTAGATGACCTAATATTTTCGAATGAAAGTATGCATATTTGATCGCGAATTTTTTCACTCAGAGTACTAAAATAGGTGATTGTTTTATATATGTCTCATATCGATTAGTTACTAAACTGCTATATTTGTCTCACGAATTCGATTCTTCGTTACAAGGAGCGATTATCTCCTTCCGAAAATCATTTAGCACTTTTCCGGTTACAACTATTGTTTTTTTCCTTCGAATCCCAATTTTCTCGAGCACTCCAATTCCAACTCGTCTCGAAAATAACCTCCATTTCTATCTTCTCTTAGGCGACCGCGGGATAGCGCACGGCGAGCTCAACTGGCCGACCCGCCTCAAGATCATAAAAGGCGTGGCCCGAGGCATGGGCTTCCTCCACACCGAGTTCTCAAACTACGAGCTCCCACACGGCAACCTAAAGTCGAGCAACATTCTCCTCGGCCAAAACTACGAGCCTCTCCTCACCGACTACGCTCTCTACTCGCTAATAAGCAACACGCAGTCCGTGCAGGCGCTCTTCGCGTACAAGTCCCCGGAGGCCATTCTCTACCAACAACTCTCCCCAAAGAGCGACGTGTATTGCCTAGGGGTCGTCGTGCTAGAGGTCGTCACTGGGAAGTTCCCGTCACAGTACCTAAACAACCAGAAGGGAGGGACGGACGTCGTGCAGTGGGCCCGCCAGGCGGTGGCAGAGGGTCGAGCCACGGAGCTAGTCGACCCGGAGATAGCGGGCCCTGGCCCGAAAGAACAGATCGAGAGGATGTTGAGGATCGGGGTCGCGTGCACCGAGGCCAACCCGGAGGATAGGGTGGAGATGAGGGAGGCTATAAGGAGTATAGAGGAAGTTCAAGGTTGAAGCTAAAGGAAAGAGAATATATATATATATAT